GGTGTGTTAATCTGTTAAACTGATTGCATTCAGCAGAGTTGGATTGATCTACGTAGAACGAAATGGAATGAAACCTTAGATTCATTAAAATGTATCTTCTTATTATTGTAGTGCTCTTAATATTTTATCTAGAACTTCAACCCACTGGGTTATCAATATCTTATCAATAAATAAGAAATAATCATTATTATACAGGGTGATATTCTGGCGTCTGTTCTGTCTCAACATGATTGCGACGTCTTCCACATAATTGATGACAATGTGTTAGGTGTTACAAGTTGTTGGTCGCTGTTGATTGTAGGCCAAAACAAACGAATTTTAACATTTTGTTTTTCTAAAAATGCTGATAAAGGATTTTTTTAAATTCCACAATGCAGTTCTCTTGGTGTTCGTTCCTCATCTACGGATTAGAGTTACAAGATCTTTCTATACAAATGTAGAATTAAGTTGTTCATAAATATCTAAGATGTAGTATTACTTGCAAGGTGAACTACCAAAGCGCAAGACACGGTGGTTTTTTTCTATTTGTGTTGTACACCAAAGCTTTAACGTTATAACGCCAAATATAATCCATATATTTCATGATATGGCCATTTATTCAATGCCAGATTTAAGCGGAGGGCGTGCCTCTCACTTTTATGTTTTGTTTCCCAGATGTCTTTTCTCCCCCCTCCCCCCAAAAGAGGAAAAAAGAAAAAAAATCTATGGGAAATCTCAACAGGGTCTGGCCCTCTCTTATACGTACATGAGTGTGACAAAAAGATAATAATATCAATTAAAACATTATAACAAGCAAAACAAAACAAATCCAAGACGTTTTACTGTCACTGTGCCCTACATATGAGAATAAAATTATCCTTTTTACTGTTTTACATCCAATCTTCATAAAAACGTTAACTATCAAACAGCTTTGTTTTAAGCTTAAGGTGACACGATGAGTGTCTTGTCGCTTTGTCGAGGTAGATTCTACTTTTTTTAATTAAGACCGACTGTTTCGGTAGCTCACGGAAACCATGACTAATTTTTATTACCGCGTTTGCTTTTCATTTGTAATGCCCCAGGATTGACACGCTTATCCATTCCATGTATTAATGGGAGGTTAATTTTCAGCAGACGGTAACTGTTAAGTCTTTATCTGTAGTAAAAAAACTTTAAGATATCAGTGATACATTTTATTTTTAGAAACGGGAAAAATGAGTACGTTTTCAGTTTAAAAAACAAAATAAAGTCAACAGGTAAATTATTGCATTTGGATTGTGTGGAAAATAAAAATGCAATCTTCCTTGAATTTGATTTTTTTTTCTCAATTTCTTATTATTCGAATAATCTTGTTAGCTAAATCTTATTGCAATTGAAGAATTGATCATTCAATATAGATATGAAAGTAGTGGAACTTTCATAACAGTTAAATACCACATCCTTGCGATCTAACGTTAGACAAATTCTCTCTCGCGCTCAAAATCAGCAGAGCCACAGACAAAATGCAAAAAAAAAAAAAAAGCATTGTAATATGAGTTATTTATATCTATAAAAAATCAACTTTTCCTACTCGCTGGAACATATTTAAAAAAGTGATCTTTACAGTACCTCTCGAAGGGAGGGGGGGGGGGCGTACACCGGGCCTCTCGTCCAGGAGCCCTTCTCAGTCTTCTAACTGTTAAAAAATTCTTCCGAAGGGCGGGTCGAGAAATGATTTATAATAAAAGGAAAATTGCTTTATTTCTTTCGGGAAATTACATTTGCTAGCTTCAAATATGTATTATTTTTTTATCAAATAAATTAAGATAGCTTAGGTGATCAAAATTGCCGCTATTTGAAATCTCTGATGTGAACATCACTTCCGGACAACCTTATATTACTACAAGCAATCTAATTTGCATATAAGAGAAAAATGCATTTTTTTCTGTTTTTGAGTCATGTACAGTTTTTATTACTTTTGTAAACAACGATGTCCCTTTACCCTCACAACTTTCCAATTATTTGATCGACACGCCCTGTTAATTAATTTATTTATATAAATTATAAACCTTCATGACACAGGCGTGAATCCCGTTATCATGTCCAAGTCATAACATTATTAAACTAGCGCCAATAACTGCAGTGGAGAATGTAGGTCAATCGCCTGTACAATTCTCCCATAGCATTATTGATTTTTGCTGGGGTGGAACATTTTAGGGAGAGGTGGACGGGTGAGAAAAGTATCATTTCAACAGCAAAATATAAATAAAGCGTGGAGCTGCTATAATCAGAGGCTTTTACAATCTGTTAGACAAGTGTAAAAATATCCCACTTTTCCAGTTTCACAGTGTAGCACTTTCAGACAATATGATACATCTCCATGCCATCAGTGTCTCCCTAAAATTTGATGACCACGTTAACTGTTCAACTCCCGGCAGAAGATGAACCAGCCAACGATAGTTTTGATACGCAGGTGTAGGAGCCGCACCCTGAATTTCAGATCTTAAAAGCAATTAACCCTTCCCGTTTCGGGTAACTGGTAACTTGTAATAGTTGCCGTAGTGTAGAGGTTTGTTTCAAGTTATCTCTGAAGCTCAGGGTAAGCAGCCGGAATAGGGCGAGACGGGAAGAGGGGGGGGGGGCATTTAACCCTTTCACAACCAGGGACCGAATGCGTTCCCTCAGCACTAACCAGTCAATTTATTTAAGAATCAGTCACTATTATTATTATGCATTTTCAAACTTTAATTAGGCGTAAGAGGGGGAAAGTGAGTCAACTCTTTCACAATCAACTACGTAATATTTATAATATTTTTGTCCAAGTTCTACATGAAGACAGAGTGATCGCAGCACTATTTCCACCCTGGTCCGGCAACCCAAGGCCTTCACTTAATGGTCGGTTGTTAACAAGTCAGGAAGACAGCACTATGGACACGCAGGTAAACTGACCATTAGTGATGGGGTCATCAGTTGACCACAATACAGGGGCCACTGTCAATGGGTTATAACTTATATTTGCATTTTTCATAGCTTTTGTATTAATACTAAGTTTATATATGGTATCAATAATTACCTATGATCAGACATAAAATTTCTGTCAACAGATTTCTGTAGCTAGGAAAGCAAGTTTTTGAAATTTGTGCAGATAGCAGATAAAAATCAGTGAGAAGACAGGAATGGGTCAGCCTCTTTTTTTAACCACTAAATTTTCCATGTTTTGACATTTCGATTTGTTACAGTAAAATGGTAAGTGGATTTATTATTATTAATATTATTATTATGCTAGAAATTCATTTGTTGACAACTTCTCAGCATTCCTTATGGTTAAGGCCNAGCATTTTTTTTTTTTTTTGGACTGTTTTTTTTTTTTTTTTTCCCGCTCGCACGGATTTTGGGGTCCCCAGAGGATGTCATCCATAAAAATAAAAAAGTGTGGCCTAACTGATACAGAATGTTGCTAGTGTTAGGTGGACTGATGTGTTCAGTTGATAACTTAAAATATTGAAATGGTGCTGACAGAGAACAGCAATAAAACATTGAATTCTTTTTGGCAAGTCATATAGTATTACACTTACAGGTGATTTTCTTTTTTTTCATTTTTCATTTTTCTTTCTTTCTATTTTTTGAGATTTTAAACTCTTTCAACATCTCACTTGCCTAGCTGGCATTGAATCCATTTCCATCTGGATTGACCCAGGGAATTATATCGGATAGGTTAATAGACTGCCACCCGTTTCCATTCCCTCCGATATAATTCCCAGATCGACCTAAGTCCCTGGGGGTTCACACTCAATTGTTATCAGCTTAAGAGTCTGTCATGCCTACTGAATCAGCTGGGGGGGGGGTAATTAACTTTCTCACACGTTCGACCTCGCTGATAGCAATTTAGTGAGACTCGCAGTGGAGATCCAACTATCTGTGGGAATGGTCCCTTTAAAGTCTGTAACATGTGTCGTGGTTTAATCAAATATTCATTTGGAGTTTGATATTTTCTTAAGTGAACAAACGATGTTTCTTTTTTAACTGTTTATTCTGTCACTAAGTCATTGGTATATATACATTTGATACATTAAAAAATGAAATAGTTTAAATTGGGTTTTAACTAGTAAACACTTGAATTCTTTGAAATTGAAACCCTTACCCATTTCCCTTTCGTTTTTCAACTGTAAAGATAGATGAGGGATTTTCCAGCGTAATATCATGTATTTGACTAAGTACAATTCTTTTTTTAATAGATGATCTATCAAGATAATGTATGTGATCATGGAAGTAAATGGTGTGAGGAATACTGAACCTACACAATATAAAAGTAATAATTATTGATTAACACTAAACAAATAAAACTTGTATCAATTACAAAATATGATTGTTCTTTAGTTATCCAAAAATAGCAATGTTTTAAGGTAGTAGTTTGTGTTCTGTTTCTGTTTCTATCATTGAGAGTTATAGAAAGGATTTTTTATAATTGTTGTGATGACACCTGGCGTGGTCCTTTTTATGCCAGTATTTCATAGACATCATTGTCAGTAATGATGGTGATATTCTCTGTGGTAAATATGTCATCATCTTTATGATAGTATTCTGTTCTTTCATCTTCATATGTATGATGGGTTATGTCATTATTGATGGACAGTTTATTTTCCACATTACTTATTTCATCCGTCTCCCCCTCTGAATCTTGAGAATTGTTAGGCTCACCTTCATTGCCTAAAGCTCCATATATATTATATGAAACATGTTTTCTTTTGTTGTATGTTGTTTTGTGTGTTTTACAATTATTCCCTTGACTTAATTCTACTCCACATTTGTCTGGTTTCTCACAAGTGTACATTCTTTTAGGGCTTGTGCAGGCCAGTTTTGTTATGATCTCTTTTTCCCACAGAACTCACATGTATCATGCTTTTCTCCAGTATGAATGGTTTCATGGACAGTGCAAAAACCTTGTTTAAAAGTTTTGCCTCCAGTGTAAATTATTTCATGGTAAGTGCAATTTCCTTTTGGAGTGAATGTTTTCTCAAAAAAATTACAGATATTTTTGTCTCCAGTGTGATTTTTTTCATGAAGTTTACAAGATTTTTTTTGTGTAAAAGTTTTGTCACAGAATCTACACTTGTAAGGTTTCTCTCCTGTGTGAATTCTTTCATGATGTATGCAATTTGTTCTGTCTGTAAATGTTTTGTCACAGAATCTACACTTGTAAGGTTTCTCTCCTGTGTGAATTCTCTCATGATGTATGCAATTTGTTTTGCTTGTAAATGTTTTGTCACAGAATCTACACATGTAAGGTTTCTCTCCAGTATGAATTCTTTCATGCAAAGTGCAATTGCCTTTTTGAGTAAAAGTTTTGTCACAGAATCCACACTTGTAAGGTTTCTCTCCTGTGTGAATTCTCTCATGATGTATGCAAGATTTTTTGTCTGTAAATGTTTTGTCACAGAATCTGCACTTGTAGGGTTTCTCTCCTGTGTGAATTCTCTCATGATACATGCATTTTGTTTTGCTTGTAAATGTTTTGTCACAGAATCTACACTTGTAAGGTTCGTCTCCAGTATGAATTCTTTCATGCACAGTGCAATTGCCTTTTTGAGTAAAATATTTGTCACAGAATCTACATTTGTAAGGTCTCTCTCCGGAGTGAATTCTTTCATGCTTTATGCAGGAAGTTTTGTCTTTAAAAGTTTTGTAACATAATCTACACTTGTAAGGTTCTTCTCCTGTGTGAATTCTTTCATGATTTATGCAGGGAGTTTTGTCTTTAAAAGTTTTGTCACAGAATCTGCATTTGTAAGGTTTCTCTCCTGTGTGAATTCTTTCATGCCTTGTGCAATTTGTTTTGTCTATAAAAGTTTTGTCACAGAATCTACACTTGTAAGGTTTGTCTCCAGTATGAATTCTTTCATGCACAATGCAATGGCCTTTTTGAGTTAAAGTTTTGTCACAGAATTTACACTTGTAAGGTCTCTCTCCTGTGCACATTTTTACTGAGTGCAGTAAGAACTTAATTGGTGGTATAAAAGTCTTGTCACAGAATCTACCTGGTAAGTCACTTGGATAAGGTGTAAGACAAGGCTTGATATGTCCTTTCCAATACTGAAATTGTGTTCACAATTCAACTCTCAGAGCACCATAAGAATATCCGTTTGGATTCTGTATGAACTTGTTGTTAACATTACCAATGCACCCAGTTTTTGTACTGAGCAATGTATAAAAATGTATTAGGAACCCCCTGTTTAAAATCTTGAATGCAGTCATTCTATTGGACAATGTTAACTGCTGGTTACAGTGAACATATCTGATTGGTTGAAGTCATTTCTCTCCAATACTTCAGATGCCATAATTTAAAGATGTTATCTGCACAACCCACTGCATATAATTATCTATTATTACTTCACTAAGCATTGGTAAACATGTACCATGACACCATCAAGCTCACATCTAGCTAGTTAAAAGACAAGAAGTGATTTTATCAGTTTGTATTTGTCACACATGCCAGGGTGGTTCTGTTGATGCATGTTGTGATGAGTCATTCAGCAGCCAGCAGTTTCAAAAGGAGGATTCTTTTTCTGAAAAAAAAATGGGATCTTTTTCATCCAATCTTTGTGTGCTTAGATAAAATTTTATTCAGATGGAACATTTTCCCAGAAAAAATGGACCCCGACACCCTCTGGCTACTCGGCCTGTTCAGGTTAAGAAATTTATAAAAAAATTAGTTCAGTTATAGGTATTAAAACTCTATTCATTAACTCCACCAAGGCATGTTAATTTCAAAAAGGAGCAAGAATAGACCTTTTTAAAAGGGATAATAAAGGGATAATATATGACAGTTTTGCTGGCGTTTTGGCCAAAAAGCGAATTTTCCTGAAGAAAACAACAATTTTCAAATACTTAACACTGTGTAGAGTTCACAAATATAATTCCCAGACTTTTTAATTAATTTGATTAGAGTCGATTGCTTGTGCACTTGACTAGTTAATGACCTTACCTGTAAAGAGTTAATGCTTATATGGTATATGCATATTAAAAAAAGGAGTAATGGTATATGTATGTTGAACGTAGATAAACTGAAGGGGGGTTTAAGAATGAAAAAAAAAGACAATGAAACTTTGTTATAACGAAGAAAGTTTATTTTCCCCTGTGTCTCGTTTCAGGTGACAGTGAATGGTCCTTGCATCACCGTGCCTGTGTCATCCCCTCCGACCCACCGCCTGCCCCGCATCCAAGGTGGAGGGTTTCCAGCACTTCGATCCATTAGACCTATCAGTCCTGGGCCCTGGAACCCAAGTAACCCTACAGCCAAGAGTGGTGGACCCCGCTGTTTTGCAGATGATTCCATTGAAAGACTAAACACAAAAAGACTCATATTGTATAAAAGACGTTCAGAATTAATATCGGGAGTTTTTAGACTGGAGGAGACTGGAAGGTGACCGCTCGACAGAGCCATGCCAGATGGCTTGATAGTTGGAGACTTCATGTAGAAGATGTAGTAAGAGAGAGTCAACCAATAAACTATTAAACTGGTCATTATGCGGACTTGGGTAAATTTGACACGAACCGTGGAATCTTTGGAATAGTTATGCACTAAGTTTGATGAAAACTTAATGTCCTATTTTGAGCCCAGGCTTGAATTAAGCGTACAAAATTATATAAGTTTAGGACATTCATTTCGTATGTANTTGTCACAGAATCTACACTTGTAAGGTCTCTCTCCTGTGCACATTTTTACTGAGTGCTGTAAGAACTTAATTGGTGGTATAAAAGTCTTGTCACAGAATCTACCTGGTAAGTCACTTGGATAAGGTGTAAGACAAGGCTTGATCTGTCCTTTCCAATACTGAAATTGTGTTCACAATTCAACTCTCAGAGCACCATAAGAATATCCATTTGAATTCTGTATGAACTTGTTGTTAACATTACCAATGCACCCAGTTTTTGTACTGAGCAATGCATAAAGTTGTACTAGGAACCCCCTGTTTAAAATCTTGAATCCACTCTATTGGATGATGTTAACTGCTGGTTACAGTGGACATATCTGATTGGTTGAAGTGATTTCTCTCCAATACTTCAGATGCCATAATTTAAAGATGTTATCTGCACAACCCACTGCATATAATTATCTGTTATTACTTCACTAAGCATTTATAAACATGTACCATGACACCATCAAGCTCATATCTAGCTACAGTAGACAGGAAGTGATTTTATCAGTCAGTTTGTATTTGTCACACATGCCAGACTGGTTCTGTAGATGATGTGATGAGTCATTCAGCAGCCAGCAGTTTCAAAAGGGGGGGGGGAGGTCTTTTCTGAAGAAAATGGACCTCTTACCATCCAATCTTTGTGTACTTAGATGAAATTTTACTCAGAGGGAACATTTTCCCAGCAAAAAGGGACCCCACACCCCCTGGCTACTGGGCCTGTTTAGGTTAAGAAATTTATGAAAAATTTAGTTCAGTTATACAGTACAGTAGGTACCTGTATATTACAACTTTATTCATTAACTCCACCAAGGTATGTTACTTTCAAAAAGGAGCAAAGAATGGACTTTTTTAAAGGGATAATATTTGACAGTTTTTGCATTTACTCCACCAAGGCATGTTACTTTTTAAAATGAGCAAGAATAGACCTTTTTAAAAGGGATAATAAAGGGATAATATATGACAGTTTTGCTGGCGTTTTGGCCAAAAAGCGAATTTTCCTGAAGAAAACAACAATTTTCAAATACTTAACACTGTGTAGAGTTCACAAATATAATTCCCAGACTTTTTAATTAATTTGATTAGAGTCGATTGCTTGTGCACTTGACTAGTTAATGACCTTACCTGTAAAGAGTTAATGCTTATACGGTATATGCATATTAAAAAAAGGAGTAATGGTATATGTATGTTGAACATAGATAAACTGAAGGGGGGTTTAAGAATGAAAAAAAAAGACAATGAAACTTTGTTATAACGAAGAAAGTTTATTTTCCCCTGTGTCTCGTTTCAGGTGACAGTGAATGGTCCTTGCATCACCGTGCCTGTGTCATCCCCTCCGACCCACCGCCTGCCCCGCATCCAAGGTGGAGGGTTTCCAGCGCTTCGATCCATTAGACCTATCAGTCCTGGGCCCTGGAACCCAAGTAACTCTACAGCCAAGAGTGGTGGACCCCGCTGTTTTGCAGATGATTCCATTGAAAGACTAAACACAAAAAGACTCATATTGTATAAAAGACGTTCAGATTTAATATCGGGAGTTTTTAGACTGGAGGAGACTCGAAGGTGACCGCTCGACAGAGCCATGCCAGATGGCTTGATAGTTGGAGACTTCATGTAGAAGATGTAGTAAGAGAGAGTCAACCAATAAACTATTAAACTAGTCATTATGCGGACTTGGGTAAATTTGACATGAACCGTGGAATCTTTGGATTGCGTTATGCACTAAGTTTGATGAAAACTTAATGTCCTATTTCGAGCCTAGGCTTGAATTAAGCGTACAAAATTATATAAGTTTAGGACATTCATTTTGTATGTATGTGTAAAGGTACATAACAACTGGTTAATGAATCCATTTTTATATTCAAAGTGAATCCCTTTTTTTCTAGAAAAGGTTTTTTTTTTGTTATAATCTTTTAAGAGATTATAAGAGAGTATAGCCATCAGTGGAGGTCACGTGGTCTTAAGACAAGCTTAAATATCAGAATAATAGCTATAACTGCCATTTTGTGGTAAAACAATATATTATATTTTTATAAGTTGTTCACAATGTTTTTATTGTGAAATATATAGATCTCATGCGAAGAGATATTATCCCTTAATTGTGTGTGCATGTACAATTTTTTTTACTTTTTATGATTGCATTTTTGCCAGATTTTCTGTTTCAAACATAACTTATCCCTCGTGTTAATTTCTTTCAGCCTAGTGTGCCAATAGGCCAGGAAAACACTTTTTGTTGAAAGTAGCTGTAATATCAGTGAGCCACCACGTACACCATTAAGACAGAGAAGAAAACACACCTACAAGGTACCCCAGATATGTACATGTATGTCATGTATGGTTAAGTTCATGGTTTACTCTTAGTCAATAGTACCAGTGTTAAATGAACTGTTTTGTCTAATTGATAACAACTTAAAATATTGAAAGCTTTCTGACATGAAAGTGTGTACTGATGATCAGTAAACCAACAGAGCTTGTAAAGAGAAAAAACATTTACTTCTTTTACCTATTGTTAAAGGGACCACTTTGGTTGCTTTTAGAATTTTTAAAACTCTTTTGCTAATGTTGTTGAAATTTTGGTTGCTGTTTAGTGTCTGTATATTTGCCAGTTTTGATATCAAGTTGTTTTTCCCTTCAGAATTTTGGCTCATTTCTTGTGGAAGAAGTGACCAAGGACCAGAAATTGTGGGTGGTTGCTGAGGCTCTGGATGCCATCTTTGATGTGTTTGCAGATGATCATCTGGACTTGTTGTCATGGAGATCAGAGTAACAAACAAACTCCAGACCATATGGTACCACAGCTGATAGCTAAGGTAAATTGTTTCTTAATTAATTAATTAATTAAATCAAATACTTATGTCAGGAGCAGTTGCCTTATCTGCATAGTGGACAAAATGAAAAAGTGTCCCATTTTGCTCATTGAAATGATTCCTGCAGTTGGGTATTTAATATATTCTTTTACAATGTAATGATATCTTTATTTAAAGACATTTTGATGAATTAAAGCAATGGATATCTTCTGAAGAAATATTGTGACATTTTTCCAGATTCATCAACTGAAGAGAAACCTAGGAGACCACTTTACTATCAGCATGACAGCAAGGACAAATCTGATATACTTCATCAAATGCAAATCTTGACCAAAAGAAATAAGGCATGTTTTTATTCTCAAAGNTTGTTTCCATGGTAACAAACTAAACATTTTTCTCAGGGCCACGAACCACATGCTTTGAACACCCCCCTTCTATTTTTGACAATATCTTCATCTTCACAGGTCTTTGGGGTAAAGCGTGTTCAGGACTAACAGATAACTCATTAATCTATTTATACATGAAATCAAAACTTACTGCTGTTCTACAACTTGTCCGTTGTAAGAGATAGAACATGACCTAATTTCTTCATTTTTCGTAAATATATCTGGACACATATATCGGTGCACTCAACTTCAGCTATCTCTTTCAAGTCAACAAATGGTTTAAAACACTGTAAGTTGAGCTTTATATCTTCATTTTACCTATTCTAATTTTTTTCTGGTTAAAACAGGCATCTAACACATTTTAAAATCATGTGAAACTAATGTACTAACGACAGAACAACACAGCGTGATTATCCAACATGGCGGAAAGCGCAGACTGTTTGTTTGCAAATCTTCTTCACCGAAGTCGTATATCATGTGGTTTATACTGTGTCTACAGATATGTAGACAGACATGTAGTGCATTGAAAAACTGCAACAGAGATATTAGCAGTCGTCTTTGTCGCGTTTACGTGAAGCAAAACAGCGTGAGTTACGAAAGCAAACTGATTCTTGTCAGGTGTGGACTCTTTTGTTTCCGATGACCGCAATTGGACATTTTCAATAATCTTTGGGAGAATGAATGGGTTACACCATGTGACCAGCATAGGGATATGGGCTTGGTTTGTGCTGGAAACCATCCACACAGGGGAAAAACGAGCCTATAACGAAATATGTCATGGGATTAACTTGCAGATGTCAGTGTAGACAAAAAGCCATTTGAATATACTGGTGCCACTTGGTTCAGGTAAGAAACGGGTTTGTTGTATTTTAATACAGGCTAAAAGCCAGAAAAAAGGTCACTCAGAAAAATGATCTAGGTGCAATTTTTTAATGGTAAACGGTCCATTTTTTTCTTTTTTTTTTTAAAGAAAAATGCCCCCTTTCAAATAATGAAATTTCATGCAGCCTAAGGACCTGTGATAATTCTATCTTTTAAGATTTGTGTAGGTATTTAGGTTGGTTTAAGGGTATTTGGGTAAAATAAATTTAAGGGTAACAATTGGAATTAGATTGAAGCTAGGGCTGGTCTTGGCAAAATTGCTAGTCTCATCATAATTTATATTCGAAGCCATGTCTTACTTATAAAACATTGACACATGGGATAATAATTTATTTTTCATCAACGTATCAATTAACTTTGAGATAAGTGTTTTCATGTGTCTATAGTAAGCTATATTTATATTTCAGGCATATTTGAGAGGTGTTATTTGACACACAGTGATCTTATGGTCAGCAAAAGAGTCCAAAGCCTTGCAGAAACTGAAACTAGTGTGGAAATGATGGATGTTGTAGAAAGGCATGTATGTAAATGAAAGCCACAATATAACAAATGCTGAGGAGATGCATGAGTCCTTAGTTTCTGCAGATGGAGTGGAGGGGTGCTCTTTTGCTGCCATTTTCTACATCCAGCTAGACAGACATCTTCCAAACCTGCGTGGACTGGAGTGTCCAATTACAACAATTTGGCTTTCTTGATTCCTACAACATGAGAAAAGGTGTCTCTCTTCCTTGAGCAGTTTTAATATGAGTGATATTGATGTTAAAGTTAATTTGGGTTTTTCTGTGGCAAATTTACCAACTGGGACTATACCTAGAGAACTCCACCCTCTTGAATATCTCACTGAGTTACACAATGGATGAGCTTTAAAGTCATATAAACCTTTGAAACTATATTCAAATAAAGTAAAGGGGTTTTTACTGAAGGAGTTTAGAAGGGCACAAAAAACAGGCCAGCAGAACCTAGCATTTGTGAGCATGAAGATGAGATTGAAATGTCAGTAAGGAGGGTTACAGACTATTCAGGAAGAAAAAATTGGCAGTTATTTTTGAATGTATTATAAACTTTGATGTTATGAGCTGTAATGTTTGATATAAAACTGTTAAGATGTTTCATAACACCAGGATATATTTTGCAGTTGTGTTAGTTTTGCTTTTTGAATAGAAAATTATCTTGTTTTGCTACATTATGATATGTAATGATCACAACTAATGTTGCACTGCTTTGCATGTATTGCTGTATTATAATTTTGTGATTTTTTTATTATTTGTAATTATTCATCTGAGACAAAAATAAACTAATTTGAATATTTTTTAGTTACTGTTTGCTCATAAATAGTCACCAAAAAGTGGTGTGGATGATTAAAAAAAACTTTTGAAAATTAAAAAAAGATTTGTTCTGGCTTTGATCTCATAAATACTATACGGCATATCCGGATCTCTAAGTGATAAATATTGCACCAAAAAGAAATCTTCACTAAACTAAGAGTTTAGTTTGTATTCACCAAATTGATGATATATATATATATATATATAATCATGTAAACTCTCAAGTTAATTGCCAGTGCTTATCCAAAGTAATAGAATCTAAGATTTATTTCCTCTTAACTTTTTGTCCATACAAATGAAAAAGTCCATATATGACAATTTACAAAAATGAAGCCCAATGACCTTGAACTATGACCCACTGACCTGATATTCATTAGAAAACATCCACTTTCCATGCTCACCAGCCCTATTAATTTAGTAACAACATTGTAGAGCAAAATGTTTTAATAAATTAATCAAACCCATTGTCTACATAGACTTGAATGAATCCACCACGATTTTTTGCTTTAAAAATGGCCAACTTTGGGGGTATTTTTCAGTACCTGTTTTAATACAGCAGTAACTTTTGAAACTTGATTTGGAGTGATCCATATCTGCCTAAAATATTCATGCAGTTTTATAGCTGTAAACCCTGTGAAGATGGAGATATATGCAATTAAAGATGGTAGTGTCAAAATTGGACTTTGGGGGGAGGGGTGTTATAAATGGGTGTGGCTCGCCCAAGCAGGGTCTTATCTGAATTCTACATATATCTGTGGCAAGCCAAATGATTGTTTTCAATGTTTGTAAGG